ATATATGTATATATATATATATATATATATATATATATATATATATATATATATATATATATATATATATGTATATACATATATATATATATATATATATATATATATATATATATATATATATATATATATATATATGTATGTATATATATATATATATATATATATGTATATATATATATATATATATATATATATATATATATATATATATATATATGTATATACATATATATATATATATATATATATATATATATATATATATATATATATATATATATATATATGTATATACATATATATATATATATATATATATATATATATATATATATATATATATATATATATATATATATATATATATCTATATATATATATATATATATATATATATATATATATATATATATATATATATATATATTTATCTATCTATCTATCTATCTATCTATCTATCTATATCTATATATATATATATATATATATATATATATATACATTATAAATATATATTTATATATATATATGTATATGTATGTATATATATATATATATATATATATATATATATATATATATATATATATATATATATATATATATATATGTATATGTATGTATATATATATATATATATATATATATATATATATATATATATATATATATATATATGTGTGTGTGTGTGTGTGTGTGTGTGTGTGTGTGTGTGCGTGTGTGTATATATATATAAACATACACGAAAACATGCACAAACAAAAACACATACATGAAAACACACTCACACACACATGTAAAATAAATGGATTAACGAAAGCGTCACGTAATATCTTAAATGGACACATTCGGAATTATTCTTTTCGTCTCTCTCTCTCTCTCTCTCTCTGTCTCTCTCTCTCTCTCTCTCTCTCCTTCTCTCTCTCTCTCTCTCTTCCAACGCGTTTCATCTCAGGGACTACATCTGATATAACATTTTTTTTTTTTTTTTTTCTCTCTCTCTCTCCCCATCTTCTTTCCTTGCCTTTCATCGAATTCTTCCTATAGAATCACTCCAAGGCCCTGATTTGACCTCGAGAGGGAAGCTACTACATCTGAATGGAATCGTAGAGCCTCAACGGTAATTCGGTTAATGGACCAATCCAGCGGTGGGGCCGAGATCCTAATGCGATAGCTGGTGCTGCTGAATTGCCGGGTCTCGCGCGCTGAAATTCAGGCTTGGGAGACGACGAGGAGCCAGAAGAGGCTTCGGGGGAGGGGGGGGGGGGTGAGAGGAGAGAGAAGGAGGGAGAAGGAGGGAGGGAGGAAGGGGGAGGTGGTGGATAGAGGGAGGGAAGGTGTGTAGAGCGAGGAGAGAGGAGGAAGAGGAAGAAGGAGGGAGGGGTAGGAGGAGGAGGGGAAGAGAATTGCAGAAGAGGCTTGAGGTGAGAGGAGGGAGAGAATGAGAGAGAGGCAGGAGAGGAGGAAGAAGAAGAAGAAGAGGAAGAAGAAGAAAAGAAGAAGAAAACGAAAAAGAAAAGAAGCAGAATAAGAAAAAGAGGAGAAAAGGGAGAAAAAAGGGAGAAGCTATCGGAAGGGGATCGAGAGGGAGGAAAGGGAGATTGGGGGGGGGGGAGAGGAAGATGGAGACAGATGGTTAGAGGAAGGAAGAAAGAGGAGCGTGGAAAGGGTATTTGAAATAGGATGAAGAAGGTGGGAGAGAGAAGTAGGGAGAGAAGGATAGGAGAAAGAGTGTTAAGAGGAATGGTAGGAAAAAAGAGAGATAGGAAAAAGCGAATATAGAAAGGTAGGAGTGAAGGAGGGAGGAAAGGCGGGAAGGAGGAAGGAGGGAATGGTGGGGTGGGGGGGGGAGGTTTTCAAAAGAGACGAGACTTTTGGGTGTAAAAGGGGTGAGATTGGAAGTCGTGTTAATGTGAGTGGGCGTGAAAGGGCGTAAAAAGAAAGAAAGAAAAAAAGAGAAGGAAAAACTAGTGATGAAAGGAGAAGGGGAAGATACGTCTGCTTAACTAAAACAAAAAGATGCATAGAGAGACATTTGTGAATATCAGACATACACAGAAATCGAGCCCATTTGTTTGTTTGCTTGTCTGCCTTGTTTCTCATCACGGTATCTTCACCCAATGCACATGTAATGTTCACTACACTATTTTTTAAAAAGTATTTACACGTAGATGGCTCAGAAGTTCAAAGCCAGCAAGGAGTCAATTAATAAACCAGTGTCTCTTTCCTGAAGCTTTCAGGATTTTTTTCTGTGACTATCAGTATCAATGTTGTTATTATAACTGACAAAATCGTTATTGCAGTGCTGTTAATAATACTAGCAGGTATATGAAATACAAAAAAAAAGGTAAATATGTTTGATAGGTTGGATTGATGACTACTTGTGGAGCCATATTTGTGTAAGCATGATTGATAAACTGAGCTCACAGTGACCAGCACGTAAATGCCATCCCCGACAGCAGTAAAAGTCATGATACTTTTATGCTTTATCATGCCACATTATCTTTCTATTGCTATATTTATTTAATTTTAGAAATGTCAGAAACATGGCAATATTATTGGTAAAATAGTTCTTTGGCAGTTCATTCAGCCTTTTTAATGACCTAATCCTATCTTTGTAAAGGCTGGGGAAGCTAGCATAAAAGTTTAATAAAAAGTATTTTCTTTGACGATCAGTTTTTATGGTCTTTCCATTATACGTATATGTATTTTGTTCGACTTTATAATTCCTTAAACTTAGCAGTTCCATGATAACCACCCTTGGAGGCTTAGTTGTCCCTTCTTGTCTACTCCCTTCTCTCTCTCTCTCTATCTATCTATCTCTGTCTTGTTTGTCTGTTTGTCTGTATGTCTGTCTCTCTCTCTCTCTCTCTCTCTCTCTGCTTCCGCTTTCATCCTTTACCCTCTCCTATCCATCTTCCCTTACTTTCTACCGTATTCCACTTCCCCACTTTTCGTCCTCTGCTTCCTCTGCTTTGCCTCTTTCCTCACTCTCCTCCTTCTCCTCTTTCTTTCCCTCTCCCTTCTCCTCTCTTCTCACAATCTCCTACTTCTCCTTCCTCCCTCTTCCCCCTCCGTAATCTCTTCAGCCTTTGTTTTAACTTGCCTCCTTCTGATGACTTATTTAATATGCCTGTCAGACAATGTGTTGGAAAAGGGGGGACGGGAGATAAAAAATCATTATAGATCCATAAAAGTAATCCTACAAGACCGGACTTTTTTCTCTCCCGTCTCTCTCTCTCTTCCGTGTCTCTCTCTCTCTCTCTCTCTCTCTCTCTCTCTCTCTCTCTCTCTCTCTCTCTCCCTCTCTCTCTCTCTCTCCCATTCTCTCTCTCTCTCTCTCTCCCATTCTCTCTCTCTCTCTCCCATTATCTCTCTCTCTCTCTCTCTCTCTCTCTCTCTCTCTCTCTCTCCCATTCTCTCTCTCTCTCTCTCTCTCCCATTCTCTCTCTCTCTCCCACTCTCTCTCTCTCTCTCTCTCTCTCTCTCTCTCTCTCTCTCTCTCTCTCTCTCTCTCTCTCTCTCAAATATTCATACACACATACATGGACACACACACACACACACACACACACACACACACACACACACACACACACACACACACACACACACACACGCATATACACTGTGTATGTGTGTATATGCACACAAATAAAAGTATGGTGAATCACCTGATAAGTAGATGCACTTGTGAACGCAGTCTGAAAAAAGACTGGAAGAAAGAAAGAAAAACGTGTTGTCCTCTATATTTCAGAGGCTATGAAGTGCAAACATGAGTCTGGCAAAGAACAAAAAATATGATCCTTTGTAAAGTCGGAAAAAAGGACTGTTGATTTAACAAACGCCTCTTTTGGCTTTGCATGAGCTTTTTTTTTTTCTTTAAAAGTGTTTGTGTTAGGCAAGTCAAGAACTGATTTCGAGACGTATTTCAAAGCGTACTTATTTTCTCTACTTTGATTTTTTTTATAATGAAATATCTAGAGGCCTGTAATAAAAAATAAAAAAAAGTTGCATAATCATTCGTAACGCAGTATTCAAATACAAAGAATATCCTTTAATTAATATAATTTAATTAATGAAAATTCAAGCGGTAATCCTCTGAGAGTAACATTCAGTTTGAAGAGGTACATAAATACCCTATTCATTACAATACTAAAAGCGGATCCAATTATGTAAAATAACACACTCCATTAACTGTTCCCGAGATTATATCACTTTATTTCCTTTGTTTAGACAAGCTAATCCGCGACTTTGGGATCAATAGCGGTAGTATAACATTTGGATCTTAGTTCTTGTTGTTGTATCATTTGCTGTATTTTCGTTGCAATAATAATAGTGATGATTTCCTGCCAATCAAAGACAAAGGTGGTGTAAGGGGCGAGAAGGAAGGAGAGAGATACGGAAAGACAGACAGATAGGAGAGATGCAGGGCAGAGAGAGAGAGAGAGGAAGGAGAGAAAGAGGGAACGAGGGGCGGGGATGAGAGAAGAGAGAGAGAGAGAGAGAGAGAGAGAGAGAGAGAGAGAGAGAGATGAGAGAGAGAGAGAGAGAGAGAGAGAGAGAGAGAGAGAGAGAGAGAGAGGGAAGAAGAAGTAGATAGATAGATAGATAGATAGATAGATAGATAGATAGATAGATAGATAGATAGAGAGAGACTGTTGAAATGGGAGTAGGGAGAGAAACGGTAAAGCCTCACAATTCGTAGGTTGCATATTATGCAAACAGGAAAGATCCTCGCGTTCCGAAAACTTTCAAAAGATAACATAAAAATAACGATAGCAAGCACAATCTTCAGATGACATGTAAAGTTGAATATTGTAAGAAGCCGAAGAAGAAAATATATTTATATAAACGCAGTCCAAAAATATTCCACATAAACTACCCCAAGCTTTCCAAATAATCTTTTTCACGTCAACGAATATATTCCGGATTCGCTTCGTCCAAAGTAAACATCAGACCGTTCCCAACCCTAGGTATTCGTACAGGTGACCTAC